CAGGGCCCCAGGCACCCGCTCAGCCGTGCCCCCGCCCCATGAACGCCGGAGGCTGCCGGGCCTCGGGGTCAGTCCTGGCTCTACCCCATCCCAGTGATTGCTCCAAGGCTCCCTTGTGCTAGATTTTTCCCCCAAAAAGCCTGATGGTCCCCAGCATGTGTCCCCCCCACCTCGTGCCCAATTCCCAGTGCTCCCACCCAGCCGTGCCCCCTAAGGTGCCTCTGCAGAGACCCTAACACTCAGTGCACCAGTGAGCAAGGCCGGGTCATGGCCCCCCTGCTCTGGGCTCCCAATTCCCTCTTCCCAGCCTCCCTGGGGAGCCCAGAGCTGGGCTCAGCCCCACGGGACTGCAGGAGGAGCTGGAGAAACCCAACCCTGGCTCAGAGGTTCGGCTGGAGCGGGGCTGGAGCTCTGTCACAAGTGCTCTTGTGCACGGTCCCCAGGGGCTGTGAGGTCCCCATGGGCCATACACGCACCCCAGGGGCTGTGCAAGGTCCCCATAGGGGGGTGCAAGATCCCCACAGGGGGATGCAAGATCCCCACAGGGCCGTGCAAGGTCCCCACGGGTTGTGCAAGGTCCCCATAGAGGAGTGCAAGGTCCCCACAGGGGTGTGTAAGGTCCCCACAGGGCCATGCAAGGTCTACACAGGACTGTGCAAGGTCCCCATGGGCTGTGCAAGGTCCCCACAGAGGGGTGCAAGGTCCTCACAGGGGTGTGCAAGGTCCCCATAGGGGTGTGCATGGTGCCCACAGAGGGGTGCAAGGTCCCCACAGGGCCATGCAAGGTCTAGACGGGGCTGTGCAAGGTCCCCATGGGCTGTGCAAGGTCCCCATAGGGGTATGCAAGGTCCCCATAGGGCTGTGCAATGTCCCCACAGAGGGGTGCAATGTCCCCACAGAGGGGTGCAAGGTCCCCATAGAGGGGTGCAAGGTCCCCATGGGCTGTGCAAGGTCCCCACAGGGGTATGCAAGGTCCCCATGGGGCTGTGCAAGGTCCCCATAGGGGTCTGCAAGGTCCCCATAGGGGTGTGCAAGCTCCCCATGGAGCTGTGCAATGTCCCCCTAGAGGGGTGCCAAGGTCCCCAAGGGCTGTGCAAGGTCCCCATGGGGCTGTGCAAGATCCCTGCAGGGCTGTGCAAGGTCCCCATAGGGGTGTGCAAGGTCCCCATGGGCTGTGCAAGCTCCCCATAGGGGTGTGCAAGGTCCCCATGGGGCCGTGCAAGGACCCCACAGGTTGTGCGAGCCATGGGGCATGGAGGGTGGTGAAGGGGCACGGGGCAACGCCGTCAGCTCAGCCCTTCCCCAGCGTGAGCCAGTCCTGCCGTGCCAGGACGCCTGGGTCCCCCGGCGGGGACATGGGGACGGCCCGTGACATTTCCCCTTGCCTCCTGACCCAATTTCTCCCCGCAGCAGGGCTGGGCAGGAGCACGAGGTCCCAGCTGGCTTCCCCCTCGCCATTCAGTAACCCGCTGGTTTGGGTACATGGGGCGCAGGGAGGGGGTGGCACTGGGGCCAGAGTGACCCCTGCCACCCTGCGAGCACCCAGGAGGTCCCCCGCTCTACCCTCCCCTCCTGGGAGGGGAGATGGGCACCTCGCTGGGTCCCCACAAGCCAGCCCAAAGCTGGAAGGTGACGGCGATGCCCCCGAGACCCCTTGGCACCCCCTGCCCTGGCAAGGCTCAGCCCTGCTCGCACCCAAGGCCGGGGTGATGTGACTGAGGGGAGGGGGGGGACCCCCAGGATGGGCACCCCAGCCACCTACCTGGTTGTGCCTGCGCCCCGGCCGCCCGCCCGTGCTCCCTCACATCGCGGCTCCCCAGCGCGGTGCCCGGTAAAGCCGATTACGCGCCGGCTTTACGGCGCTCTCCTTCTCCCCAGCATCTCCCCCTGCCTCGCTCCAGTGCCTGGCACGGCCCCGGGGGGGGGGGGGGGGGGGGGGCGGGGGGGCCCCC